GAAGATAAAATTTGATGAGAAAAAATCAGATGAATTGGTAATATCTTTGCATTTAATTGTCTATTTTGATTTTTTGCGCATATGCAGCCATTTTAAAAAGAGCAAGAGTAGAAGACCACATTATGTATAAACAGAGACAGGGAGGAAATCAGCTGGAAACAAAGGAAGTTTGGCAACAGCAGTAGAGAACTTGCTGGAGAARTTATTGCATAAATGAAGAGAGTAATGGACACTTTGTGCCTTGGACTAACAGCATGCTTAGAAATTCCCTTCCAATCAGACAACACTATTGCCTGGTTTCTAAATTCTAAAATTAATTCAAGCTGGATAAAAGAGACTTAGGCAAAAGAATGGCAATGTTGGGAGAATGCTGTCAGGAGGGGTCACCACTCTTTCTCAGACAGTAATAACAGACAGAAACATTTGCAGAGGCTTAAAGCTTACTTTCAGCACCAAATTGTTGGCTACAGCCAACAGCAGTAAGCCATTYGCTGCAGGGGAGAAGCTAAAATCCACCTTGTGCATTTGTATGACAGCACAGCCAATTACAGATATTTCAGAAATAAAATATCAGACTCTTATCAATAAAGAATGGTATTATCTTTTTTTTTTTTTTCAACCCCTGTGTGTGGCTTTACCAAAAGGAAACCCCTCACGAGAAACCATGAAGAGGGAATAACATCAACACTGCACTGAGAAAACCCAGAGTGTTTTACTACAGAGGCAGAACAGCAGAGCACCTGTGTTAACATGATGCATCTTATCAAAAAGGAACAGAAAGGTCTGGAACCAATGTCCACCCACCATAAAGTCATGACAAAATAATTTCTGACTGTTAAAGAAATCCTGAAGGGGCAGCCCAGCAAGAGAAGAACATGTCTTCCAGTTAATACAGTTAACCAAAAGGTGAGAAAACCCTGTTACTCCAGTGGTTGTTACACCTATTCTACTCAATCTTAAAAGCACATTAATGAAAGAAATACATTCATGCCTAYTGCCTAAATTCTCATTGACTAATATATTCCAGACCAATCAGCATGGAAATCAACCCATTTCAATTCACAGTAAAATAAATTTAGCATACATGTGGTCAATTATTAACCTCCAAGAGAAGGAATAAAAGCACAAAAAGTACACAAGAGAATTTCTTAAATAACTGTGCTGTTCCAGGACCAAAGATTTAAATATATTATCAACAACAAAGGTCATCAGCATGTAGGAAAGAACTAAGATAAATTCCTGAATCTGACTTCAGATACTTGGATTCCTTTAGGGTTTTTAAAGTATTTCTTTTCATACACACATGATAGCAAATAAGCAACATATATAACTAAATAAAATATTAATGTACATAAATAAAAGCAAACACTGAAAAATCATATTTAATTTAGTATTATAGATAAAATGTTTACGCCATTTTATGGCAACAATTATTATTCATATTACTGTGCTGTCTAGGGATCCTACTGAATGAAGAATCCCACTGGGACAAAAGTGGCAGAAACACACAAAAAGGCAACTCCTGGATCATAAATCCCATAGTAAGAACACCGGACAAAAAGAATAAGCAATACACTCAGAAACATAAAAATGAGCTAATATKAATCAGTGTAATAAAAACTAGTCATAACACATCACCAGCCCTACAGAAATACATTTTSAGCAGGGAGAYACTAATATTAAAAGTTATAGCTGTGATGTAAGACAATTTTTCTATTGTTTATAAACAAAAGGACAGTTAAGGGAATGAATCCATCAATCCTAAATCTATTATGTAAAGATTCTGTAGCCCCTGTATAATCTCTACTAACATACAGGTTAAAGTATGGTCAAGCCAGCATGACAAGATTTTTCTATCCTTGCTGAATAACTGAATCTTACTCATAAGCAATCATTTTAAGAAAAGCCAACACACCATCTGAGGCAAGAATGAAACACTGCCAGTTTAATTTCACAAGACTGAACTGAGTGTGTATAACCATTTATTATCAAGTGAAAACAAAATTTTATAGATGTTACAAACTGACCAGAGATTTAGAATGATAAACTCGTCATCACAGGTCATTCTCCAGCAATAAGCTGAAGTAGTGAAGCAAACTACTCCCACCAACATAACACAAGGCCAAATTTYTTCTCATTCACAAGAAGCAAGTAAGTTGTCCTGGTTTGTGACTCTCATTCCATTCTTCCAGCTTCCTACTGTTTGGAGAGGTAKCAGCAAATATACTTGGCTTCTTCAAGAGATGGAACTTCTACAGACAGCCAAACTGGACAGACAAATCTACATTCAGTGGCTTCTCACAGCTGAGCTGCAATATCCTCGTGGCTCTGCTTGCAGTGGACTAATTAACTGAGAGCTGTGCAGCTGCATTATCAAAAAAAAAAAAAAAAAACCCAAACTTGCCAGAGAGAAACATTAAAACTAAGTAAAAATAAAGGATTCCAAGGCTGAAGAGCAGCAAATTATCTGCATGGTCCTGTAAAATACTGCATCCACATTGTGTCGCTTGCAAATTAGGCTGCAGGCATTAGTGTATAATCAGCACCAACCAAAAATGAATAGGGAATGATATGAAAACACATTTTCCATCTGGTCAAGATACTTGTCATGGTATGAGCCATAAACTTTATTATTAAAGAAACTTCTATGTCTTGTAAGCCTCCTAAATACTTACCAGGCACATCAGATTATACTGTTTCCTCTGAATCCTTGACTGTGCTAATGAGGGACAGCACAAACACACATTTAAAAACAACCAAACCAAACCCACAAACCTGACAGAGATATAATTTCATGTGTTATTATGAAAAATCAAATACAGACTAGTCCCTTGGAATCCTGATCAAGTAATGCCCACTGGGTAAGGAAATCAAAATATGTAAAGCAGAAAGCTTTGAAGGTTCATGCAACCATGGTGGATCAGGATCAGGTTCAGGTAGCTGGTAGGGATAATGGAAAAGCAAAAAAATGCTACAGCCTTCAGGAAACATCGATCTAGCTGCTTCTATTAAAATGGTGCAGCTGAAGGATGTTTTTAAGACACTTAAGAGGAAATGAGATGAGGTCTGTTATACTTCTTGAAGAAAATGTAGGATATTTGGGACTTTATCTCACCATCCTTCAGAAAACCCGTCACAAATATACTACAATGTAAACAAAATCTTGAGTCTGGATAAAGTGGAAACATCATGCAAAACTGAAAGTAAAACCAGTACATATCTCTGCCAGCAGTTATAAAACATGTTCAGTTCAACACAGTGGTGATGACTCCTTCCCCCAACAGCACCGCTCAAGGAGTCACCCTGAGCGCGATGTAATTTCTGAGCAACAGCAAAATCGTTTTTGTGCAAACAACTGACATGCCTTTGCATTAATCCCAACTAGTTTGGAATGCAGTGGCAATAGGATTCTCCTGACAAGCTGAGTCAAAGGAAASAAGCATAAAAAATAAAGGGATTCCAGTGAATAGCAAACATCACCAGCACTGAAAGGGCTAAAGACCAGCACACATCAGTGGAAGGGATTCTGTAGCAACGCTGACAGACCTCTGCCTTATGTACTTACATTCCTAAATCATCTTGCACGCAGTAACTGCAACCAGCGATTCAAGCAAACAGACAAGCAATTTTTTTTTGCAGACTTGGGTATTTTATACGATCCCGTTATTTGTGTCATGTGGTGCCACATTTCATGAATTTTAGAAATTAACAGGATACCATGAAGTCTAACACAACCTGTATGCAGTTCGTATGTATAAATAACTTTGCTTCAGTCTTGTTCCAGGTAAGCTTGCAGGTACATAGAGAGTACCTTGACAAAAATCTGAAGACTATAATTACAATTCTAGTGGCACCTCAGAAAAGTAGAATTTAAGTGAGCTTTAAATGCAGTTTTAATTTTAAACTATAAGAAAACCAAGTAACCTTTTGAGCCCCTTGACAACCTGCTCCCAGGCCACCAAAATAGGAATGACACTGTGATATAATAACAATCAACGATCAGAATACAACCATGCTCTTTATACACATGACTGGAACTGGTATTAGGCAAAATCAAAAGGAGGGTTGCAACTTCTACTTTTGGCAAATAGAACAATGATTTCACTGGCAGAGGTCCTTAACCCAGTACTGAAATGTTTATTTGTGGCTTTATAAGCTGATATAGCAACTCAAATTAAAAGCACAGTATCATGTCTTATTAATAAGACCCTCTCTCCCTCCCATCTCCAAAATTAAGCAAATTATTTTTATCTGGGTTCCTCAGCCACATCAGAGAYTACATTGTGAAGAAACTAATGACCTGGAAAAACCAAGTTCAATTCACTGTTTGAAGAGGTTCCAAGTGTAGGTGCTGTTCCACTGGCATGAAGAAAAATCTCCCTCTCCCTATCAAGAACTTGTCCTGAAAACTTTCCACTTATTCTATATTACATTCCTAGCTCAGAACACCCTTATTTCATTATTGCAAACCAAAGAAACATAAAACCCATTATGAAGGGAATATTTACATTGCAAATATCTCTTTGTAAAAAAAGRTATCATCAGTTCTCCTTTCTGAAAATTGGTAAAGGAAAAAACTCTTTCCATTTTCCTTGAAGTTTTCCTAAAATTCAGTGGTAGAAGGAGTAAACAATACACTTATCTGAAGGTAAGCATTTAAAAATATGTAAAAACTTTGAACCAAAACATAATCCTTCATGAACAAATCCATAATACTCAGCAGTTCACATAGGCAGAATGTTGGTAGAGAAAGCTTGTAAATCCCACACATTTGACTGTGGGCTGGGCTGAAAATCAAGGACAGAAYTCCGGTCGGTGGCACATCAATGTCACAGAAGACCAGTCAATTGAACAAATCAGAATAAATTTCTCACCTTCCAAGCAGCATGTAGAATATGAAGTTCCCAGAGACTACATTTACCTGGCAGGTAAGATTTTAGAGAATGTGGCAGTGATAATGTAAAATAGCAAAGAACAAAAGTGCTGTTCATATGGAGTTTTATGTATGCACCATGCATACGCACACAATCGCACCAATGATTCTCTGGGAGGAAAAATTGTTTTATGGATGTCAAAGAAGGTGGTTTGGTAAGAGGCAAAAAAGTACAAGACTGGATTGTTGCAGAGCTCCAAGGTAAACAGAACAAACATGATGTATGTCTGCTTCCTTGCAAGAGTTCTGGCTCGTATCTTAATGAGTTCACAGCCTTCAAAAGATTCAGCTTCCTCACAGGTATTTAAGACAAAATTTTTATTTCCTATTATTTAATTTTTCTGTGAGTTTCAATAAAAATCTGGGGGTCTCCTTCCCATCTACCCATGGATCCTTCCACATTAGCTGGACTCCACTGTACACCGAGAATAAAGTCTCGAATACTCATTTTCTTTAATATAAAACAAATTTGGTTTTAMTGTACCAATGTCCCAGAATTCCAAGACACAACTAATTGGCAGTCTTAAAGGAAACCAATTTCTAGAAACAGATGCATCTAACAAGCAGTGTATTACTAGACTTCTTCCCCTCAGAAGTACTGACTTTTAAGCACTAGAGGATCATATGACCCTGGGGAATAAGATCATAGCATCTACATTAGTACATTTCTGAATTATTAACAGTAACACTATAAATTTGTATCATTTCATGATCATTTTCTCAAAGATGATGACCTAATTATTCATTATGTACTTAGAGGATGTAAGGAGGCATATGTACCTTGCCAATATTTTGTCACCACATTCTGCTGAGGAACTGTCACATTATAGTTACGTCTCTACAACATCAGTGTTTTCAGTTCYCTCATTACCACACCAGAAGATCCGCTCTTGCCTTTGGGCTCATCTTAGATGCTCTGCTTTTGATCTTCTTTAGTTGTATTTTCAACTGAGCTACCTGACTATGTAAAAATTTTCATGTTAATTATTTATGAATACTATTTCTGAATCACACTCTAAGAAATGAGCTAGAAATTATGGGCTCTGAAGCTGTAAGTAAATAGCTTAAAAAATAAAACATTTTCAAAATCTATAAATACCAAGTAACTAAAATAGTATTTGTGGAGAACCAATTAAATTAGCTTTTCCCAAAAATAAAATGCATTGACTTAATTGTTGAGGAAGAAATGTTCATGGGTTTTGATTTTTTTTTCAAGTTGAAGAGGAAAGTAGTAGTAGCTTTATTTGTACAATTCAAAATAAAGTAAAAAGTTATAATTTAGCCTACATTTGTACCTCTGAAATATCACATTTGCCTGGATTAGTGGAAAATTTATCAGCATCACTTAGACAGCAAGACAACAAAGCTTTCTCTTTAGCAGTTCCAAAATACAGAAAGACCAACTGACTCTAGGTACCTTTTGTTGCAAAAATTCATAATCTTTAGAATTTCCTGGTCACTCTTGCTAATTTAGCATTATCCTTCAATCAGTCTTTAAATCTYATTCTGTATCTATGCTGATTTTTACTGATATGTCTGTTTAACACTATGGTCAATGTATCTTTTTCGCCATAAGTGTTTCAACTTTSATTTTATTATTCTTTTTCAAGACACAAAATGGTTTTTCAGTTGAGGAACACCTTACTGGAGGGGACCTACAGGATCAGATCAGTAATGTCAGAGGGCACTACTCTGTAATTCCTTCACGCACCAATCCAGTTCCATCTCACCACTATTTCAGCTGGAAGCCTGCTGCTGAACCGCACATTGCCTGAGATTTCTTTTGGTTTTCAGCCTGAAATTTATTCATGGTCAAGTGCATCCATTCATTATGTTAACACTGTCCTTGGTCCATTCATAAACATAATTAAGTATACTTTTGCTTTGCCAAGGTCAACTAGCCATGCTTTTGTAATCTTTAATCATGTGGCATTTTCTCAGTCTCTGAACAGTAAACATTTTCTGCACTTCCAGTAATCCAGACCGGATTGCACTAGAACCTACAAAATGCTATTAATATTCTTTTTATTTGGAAACAATCTCTTGTTATCTCACATATTGTATATACACAACCATCAAGTCCATGAATATGTTTGTAAAATTATTTTGTAAATTATCTCTTTTCTTAATGGAGAGTTGACTAGCAACAGATTTCAAAACACTAAGAATTACTAACAATCATATGACATGCATAAAAATTCATCCTTGTATATTTTCTTGGAATCTACTATTTTTGGATAAGCTGTTCGATTTTTTRAAGTAGTCAAGACTGACAGCTTCTATAAATGGGATAATCTGAAGTATTTTCCTTAAAACTAATGACATTCAATGACAAAATGATAAGTGGCCATCCATAATACCCTAAACCCCGAATTATTTTCAGAAGAGAAACAGAATATTTAAGAAATAGTGTTAGAGGGTAACTGTAAGCAATTTAGCCACTGAAGTAATCCTGCTGTTACCTACTGCCCACAAAGCTGAGTAGCACTGTGCCCCTACACAAACTGTTGTAGTACACAAGTATTTTAAAATTCAATGAAACTCCGGCTACTTTTTCCTTCTTTGTGGATTTTGTGGTGGTGGTCTTTTCCAATCAATGTCCAGAAATTACCAGTACTAAAGAATCTGTTCATGACATTGTGCACAAAAGTTCCTAAGAGACAGTGACTACTTTATTGTTGAATGTAACCTTTATTTTATTAATGATGAGAAGTAATCAATGGAATGCTAAAAAAAAACCCCAACCTTTTAAAGAAATCTAGTCTGAAATCTGAATCTGTTGTTTGAAGCAAGTTCAGTGGTCACAGTAACACCAGATGAAAGTTGACTCTTGCCCATTGTGAAACAGGCATGGCTCTTCTAAAAAGGTCACAAACTTTTCAAATATAGGCACCATGTTTCAAATTTTGCACATACAAAATATGTTCATGTCACTCAAATTACACAATGTGGCAGTGTTGTAAGTCTGAACATTATTGTCAATTAATGGCGGAGAAAAGAGCCCAAAGCTCACGTAAGACTAATGACTGGGACAACTCTTGAAAAGAGACAAAAAGTATAAAACAACAGTCTCCTGTTGTACGTGGGTTTGTGTGTGCATGTGTGAGAGTGCGTATAACAAAAATGTTTAAGTTCAGATAACAGCCCATCCACTTGTTCTCAGCTTCTTATCCAGTTTCACTGCAAAGGCTTTGATTTTAACCKCATGATAAAATGCAAATTCAAATCCCATAGAAACCAATAGTTAGTGTGTTGTTGACTGGTTTGAACCGGTCAAAATTGAGAATCACTGATGAATGTCTTCCTTTTAATCTACTTGTCAGCCTCTGGGTATGTAGGATACTTGACTGTCTCAATTTTCTCCTTAACTTTATAGGATGGGTACAGGCCTGTTCTTCCTAATTTCCTATTGATGCCTTTTGAATAACCATCCCAGTGGTTTCCAGCCACTCCAATTATATCTCCAGGTTCCATAGGAATTTCGTCAGCAGTTCGTGGATGATGAGCATAAATAGCAATCTGGTTGTGAGCATTCTGTCCCCCAAAGTAGTAGATGTCATCCAAAGAATGAAAATACGCTGAGGCATCTGGATGCAAMGTCTGCATAATTTCATAGGCAACTCGACAAACCTTAGAAATAAAAACAGAAGTTGTTAATCTTGTGTGTGACTGCAATATACCACAGAAATCAACAGCCCACGTATAGCACTATTTCCCAAGAAGATAAGATTCTGGAATGTCCAGGTTAAAAAAAAAACCCCAACAAGTAACCAATAAAATAGCCCTTAAGAAATAAAAAATCAAACCAAACCAAAACCAAACAAAAACAAACAAACCCCATAAAAACCAACAAAACCCCACAGAATAGGGATTCTTTACTAATAAAAAGCATGAAATTTTGTAGCATCTTAGGCCTCTGTGATCAGATTTGGTAAACAAATAAATAGATAAACAATTARTAGTCTACTCAGTATCAAATGAAAACGTCTACATGAACACTAGAAATTCTGCTTTTTAAAACACATTCTATGTAGCCAATCAAATGTAAAAGCAAGTTAGTTATCTTTTTCTACTACTAAGAACTGTATTTTACTTCCCTTTGAAMCTTTAGAATTTGCATTTTCAAAATTTATCCTGCAATGATGAGGCCTTACATTTACTTTTCTAAAGGAAGTTTGAATTTTCACAACTAAACAGTTCCATAAGTCCAAGGGTTTAAAATGCTGTTTATATTAGAACAGTGATAGAATTTTGACTGTTGGCAGCTTAGAAGTAAATGGAACTGAATTCCATCAAGACAATAATTAGGCTGGTGAGGAGAAAGATGCATTTTTACTTGTCATTGTACCCTTTTTTATGAATGAAATTTTCTTCAGACTSAACAGGTTCCCACATGAGAATTATGTTGTATTTCTCAGAGTTGCCAGAAACACAAAAGACTACCACCATATTAAAAAAAGCTCTTCAACAACTGGCTAGGACGCTCTTCTCTGCCAAGTGTCCAACTTGGTTGCTCTGAGTTTTCTGACTTCTGAATTCCATTACTCTATCTTTCTCTGATTTTCCAYAAGTTTGATAAAGGTTGATTAACAATACAAGAGATTTCTTCAATATGAAGAAGCATTTGAGCTTTTTCATAATTTTCAGTCTATGTGAATATAGTAAAGCTTGATTTTACTTTTATTTTCTCCCTTTGAAGATACAGTGAATAGAACTTTGATCAGTCAAACTAGACGTATTTGTACTTTCTTAGCTCCTTTGAGAGAGGCATTTGCTTTAAAAATTTAATAGGTTTTCTTTTATCCCTCTGCATCTGAACTTTGAAATAACTTTTCAGAAGTACATTTCAGAAGATCAGGCCGAAGTTAATTATTTCAAAGTACCTGTTACACACCATAATATAAAACCAAATTTGATTACCCATATATTTGAAAAAAGCTATTTATTTTATAGCTTCTGTAACCGTTTTTGCTTTGTTCTCTGCAGGTGTGTACACCCCCAGGAAGAGGATACACACAATACACACAACTAAAGATTTTAGATCTTTTCAGTAGAAATGCTTTTAGCATGCRTGTCCTGCATATCTGACACAAAACATTGAACATCTCCTCTCAGCAACTGTTTTCTTTGCAGCACCAAACCTCAGCAACAAAACTGCAATCTGTTGAAGACAGCAGGCAAAATAACTAAAGGCAGAAATACAGCTAAAGCCAGCCTCCCTTTTTTTATTCCCAGATCCATTTGTTCTGCAATCTGTATACTTACATGYACAATGAAAAATACAAATACTAATAAATTCTGGAAGTAAACAAAGTTATGAAGAAAAATGCATCAGTCAGAGGGAGCTATGGTTTCAAAATGAAGACTTAAGAGACAAAAAAAAACTTTGTTTTAATGTGTAATTTAAATTCTGCTACTGTGTTATGATTTGTGTAACTACCATGTGGCAAATCTATAAAATTACCTATTCTTCAGGTTATACCAGTGATCTTTTAGTTYAGCACCATAATACCCAATTAATACAGGGGAATTCCTGATTCTATTCAGGTATGTTGTCATTTTCTTTTAATATCTCCGTACTGAAGTTTAGCCTCGTTTTGGCAAAATGGCAAAAAAAGTCAGCATGGAATTGATTAATGAGAAAGTCCAAAATCACATTGGAAATAAATCGGAATACATTTTTAACCTTACTTTCTCTTCATATATGTTGGACAAGGCGGTCATAACAGCCTTATTTTGCTTACCTTCAATGCCAAGGTAACTATCAAGTGGTTTATTTAACTGATGAAAGAACAGGCATACCAATTCAAATGTTAGAGATAAGAGAATCAAATTTGAAATCCATAAAAATAGTGGGAAAACTTGCAACAAACCTTAGAAAAACCCACTATATGAAGATTCTGTAGAGATCCACATTGCTGCATGCCCAGAAGAACTGGTATTAAATGATTTCTGAGGAATTTAAATTACTAAAGCACAAGAAATTGCCCAGAATAAATTAAGTAAATTACTGGACCAATTCATAGTCCAGTTATTGACAGTAACAGTCTAATATTGGATTTCCTACACTTCAGTAGAAWATTCTGCAGTTCTGGAAAACTAAACATGTTATACAATAAACAAATCTATTGTCAAATGCACGGTGAAACAGAATGAGAACTGGTCAACCTGAGTTGATGTTTTCTAAACATATACTCTTCTTTCAAAATGACTCCAACACTTAGAATTCAATTATGATATATTCTGTCCAAGCCATTTGCAGCTATATTTAAGCTATGTCTATACCCCGGGTTTTATTTAAAGCAAATATTTGTCACCTTTAACACAGCTATCTGAATATAATAACAGCAGAATATGTTATAGATTTTCCATTACGTTTTTACCCCAGATCATRTAATTCTTCCTCCAGACTACGACCTGTCTCTACACCAATGCACGTGTGGCRTTTCAGACACACAGCCACAGGTTTCAGCTCTTTCACTGTGATATGCATTCAGTGGATGTACTTCAACTAAATCAAACATTATTATTAAAATGGATGGCTCCTCACASCTCTTCTTAGTGAGGATTTTTGCTTTGGATTTTACTCATGTCTTTGGTCTGAAAWAGCCTATATTAATAACCTTCTAAATACGCTATAAAATGTCATTCTCTGTACAGGATGTGGAGAATGGTAAATAAAGTGTATGCACAAGCATGATTGAGGAATAAGAGGCTTTTCTATATTTCTGTAGTTTTGCTGTCTTCTTGCTACTGCAATTTTATTAAGAATTCTGCCTGTCAAGGTCAATATATCAYTGTATTGACCATATATTAATATTAATATTATGCTTGTTACCTATTTGTCATTACAGTGCAGCAGAAAATTTACATTTCAGGCTGTGAAAAACATTTATTTTTTTAAAGTGAATTTTAACTTTTTAAGTTTTGTGTCCACTTCCATCTAACAGTACAATCATGTGYGATTGTGTCACCAAAGACAGTAATGAGGACAGCAAGCAAAAAACATTCAATCTGACAGAAATCATATCTTGCCACAGCTGAAGTAGGTGGATCAGCACATTAGCACAAAATATTGCTTGGTGACCTTCTGCTCTGCTTTTAATTTTAAAAGAGATTTTTACAGCAGAAGCAYGAAAAAAACTAAGATTTAGAACTGGTACACACAATGTACATTGTATCTGTTGCACTTTACCTGGGATGAAAATGTACAGACCAGGAAGTCTGCCTGAGACAAAAAGTGAATATCCAGAATGACACCTCTTAGGGAGTTCTCAGTATATCGGTTATGGAGTCCTGCTGACCAGGATATGGAGTTATCACTGATAAATTCATAATTTGGATACCTGTGAAAATACAATACATAGTTAATAGCAAAGTCTTGCTCTATTTATTTTAATTTTTTTAAGAAGCATTATCTCTGTTGCAAGATAGGGTTGTCAATTTGCTTTAAGTGAGTCTCTGTTTTACAGGAAATTAATTACAATTTGGCAGTACCCTCTAGAATGTTACTGTTGCCTCCAAGCATGCCCTCTTTTTCTAGAAAAAAAATTWAAAAGGTGTTGCAAGTCTGTCTGATACATAACAAAGCAGCAGAAGTGAAGGAAATATCGGCAAGTATATACCACATTCTGCTAATGACGCTGATTTTAGATGAAATATACTCAGACCATTTAGTTTCCTCTACTGCTAAATAGGTTATGGGATTCTGACTTTACTAGACTACATTTATTACCATACTATTAGATACTGATTAGGACACTGTGCAAAAAAAACCAGTCACCTGTAAAAGGAACATATTAAATAAATGAATGTGAGCTAATGAAAAGAGTAAAAATAGTCTTTCACAGTTYATAAGGCCATATGGAGAACAAATTTTGCATTTCACTGGTCAAAAGGAAAGAAAAGTAAAATTCTACGCCACTTTTCCTGACTTATTACAAAAAAATTAGTACTACTGTAAGTGAAAATATTATGCTTGAAACATAAAAACTTGTGTTTTAAAAATAATGTAACTTCTTACTATTTTAAAAATATTTTATCATGTAAAAATAACTGTAAAATAAAAATCCTTTAAAAACATACTGAAAAATCATGGTCTTTCTCTAAAACTTTACATGTCTGCACAGGGGAACTGAAATCTGAAAGAAACTGTGAAAAGGAGCATGAACTAATAATATTTTCAGTCAGCCTCTTATCAAAGACAATTAATAGAGACACAACAGTGGTGATAACTACTCTGCTGTTACGCAATAATTATATTTCAATGATGAAGTGCAACTTACACGACTAACGAGCCAACTGCAAAAATTCAACTACATGGTATATTAGAAAAAAAACTATATATATATATATATAAGCTTTTTTTCAAATTTACAACTTCATTGCAACTATACATCAATACTTTACATAAGAGAGCAYGGCAGCTAATATAATATTCATAAGAACATGCCTAATTTATTCCATTTAAATGTTAAAAACATGGACAAACTGTMTCCGAAAGTGAAATGAACAAATATAGCTGCTCTTTGTGACTGCCAATCAGCAAATTTATCTCAAGAGCAAATCAAAAAACTGTATACAAAATGTCCACATTTGATGGGAAATGTATGGGACAGCTTCAAAGGATGTTTCTGATCATAAATGTCAGGGTAAGTTCCTACTACATTAAAAAGAAGAAAAAAACTAAACTAAACAAACAAAAAAAAAGGAAGAGAAGGTAGAAATAGTATAAGAATAACTGATAATACCGTTCTGAGGAATTACAGAAACATATGAAGCAATAAATAGTTTTTGCAGAAAGAGTTCTTTCAATTTTATTTCTGATCTTTTCGTGTCCAACATTTTTGGTCAATATTTAACCAGCCCTCAAAACACAACAGATGACACCACACTGACACATTCTATTCTAAATTCCATTGTGTTAATCATATTCTTTTTAAAGGAAGAAAAATGTACCRACCAAATGGAAATGTGTCATACACTACTCTGTGAACTAGCTGAGGGAGAGAAAGAAGCATCAGTCTTGCAGATACAAAAGAACTTTTTTTGAAGAATCTGATTTTTTACTAGCAAAATATCACTCTAATAACTTTCAGGAATGAAGCACAAGGAAAAAAGTGTCATATTGGATGTGGTATAAAACAAAAGGTCAGAATTATTTACATATCTTTTTATGCATATATTTAARAAGTTCTCCTTTCCTTTTTTCTGGAAACAGTCTTAGAGATGCTTTTAGATTTGTCTTCAATTCCATTTTATGAAGTTGACCCAAATTCATTTAACAGTTTCAGAGTCCATTCTTCAAACCAGTGATCAAAGCCTATAATTTACCTACTCACACGTTTAAGTTTTCAAACAAGCACTTTTAAGTTGTCTCTCACATACAATGCTGCATTCGTGCTTGGGAAAAGAGGTTTCTTTTCAAATGTGAGTGAAATAGCAGCCACACTAAATGAGACCAAAGAATCTTCWGGTCCACTATCCTGTCTCCAACACAGGCTGAAAGCAGCGCATAAAGAAATGTACAGAAAAAGGCCAGGTGCACACTCCTCTCAAGCTGTATGTGGCCCACTGACTTCCTGCATCAAGTGAGGTTTAATTCTCTTTCCCACTCACTACAGTGCTTTAGATYCTATTTGAAGCTCTTCTTGCCACAATGACTGCAAAGAATAAAGAAAATCAAACTACCAAAGTTAGYTCTTGCTTCCTTCCATTCCCTTTTCCATCTGTATTTATATTATGATTAATGTAATGCTTACATTGTAAGCCTCTGGGGAACTTTTTAAGTGGAACTTAGGCACAATCCTATTAATAGGATTCCTGAATGTGTAGTAAATTAATCACACATAACAATATGTCATATTCTTACTGACAGAATCACCTAAACACAATGTTATGTAGGATGCCTTCCAGCTTCACTCACTCTCTTCTCTCAAACAGGAAAGATGTGAATCATGACATCATTTAASTTGGAAAATATCCTTAAGACCATTGAGTCCAACCACAAACCCATCACTGCCAAGTCCACCACTAAATCATGTCCCTAAAGTGCCACAYCTACATGACTTTAAATACCTCCAGTGAYRGTGGCATTACACTTCCTTGGGCAGMCYGTTCCAAAACAAAACCAAACACAATTCTGTTTTTTTGTATTGGACTACATATATGTAGAGTATCTCTTCCATATACCTAAAAATAATACTCAGTTCTTCAAAAGCTATCTAATAGGCTCTTGAAATCCATGTACAGGCCAGGAAGGATTTTTTTTCCCCTTTTATGATAAAAGGAAAACAAGAAATCAAAAGAAGGTGGGGAAGAGAGAGTTAAAAATCTTTCCTTCCTGCACCTAACGGTCTCAGATAAGGATACAAATCAAGCACAGTTATGGGACTATTTCAAGTTTCTATTGGTTTCAGAAGCTGATCAACTAGTTGTGTAACTATAGCTTATCACTGCAAGTGCAAAGCAGGGCCAGTCCCACGCTCCTGCTCTCCATTGCTGGGCCTGTGGAAGGGTCCTGAACAGGCACTGAAAATTTCCTTTTCTCTGGAAGAAGATTGTGAGTGTATGTGTAAACAGACTGMGTAAGAAATAATGTGCTTTCTCAGGTCTTGCTCTAAAAAAACTGGAAAATATATTAACTGTTCATCAGATTGCAGTACTTTGAAGCACTGCTGAGTTCTATATATCAGGCATGCTATGACTTGGGGGGTGGGAGGGTTAGCCAAACTAAAATCACAGGGAGAAAAGGCATTAACCTGCTATTGTGGAAGTAAATAAACAGTTTAAAAGGAGAAAAAAGTAAATACAGTTGACTTCAAAGGTAAACATTCCATAACAAAGAATGTKATTTGTGCTCATGTACAAGAGAAAGGTACCTAAATAGATTCATATACAAACCAGAAATATATTAAATATAGTTACTTAAGAATTTATGTACATATTTATCTGCATTATTTTGAATTCCTTAAAGAGTGAAGATATTTTAAGTGCTATTATAGACTAGAAATATATATACCAAACACTCTAATATTTGCCTTTGAAAACTGTTAAATCAGCCAAAGAAAAAGCAATTTACACCATCCCTAACAYATCGCTTATCTAAGACAAATACCATGACCTCTCTTAACAGAAGCTGTCAAATGCTTTAATCCCCTGATCATTACAGTTGTTGAACTCTCAACCATGCTACTCTCTACTAAAGTTGTTTTACATCATCCTAATTCTGAAAATGTATCACTTCTTTCCTTCTTTTGGAAATAGAACACAAATGGGTGGTAGTGAACCCACTACCTTTACTAATGTACTTCCAATTGGCAGACATCTGACTGCAAGGGAAGTTTCTGAAACTTATGTCAAAACATTTCCGTTTTAATGACTATGAATAGTCTAAAATACTTCTCTTGATAGAAACAACATGCCTATTCATGTGAATGTTGGCTAAATGTTCTTTAGTTAAATGCCAACGCTGTTTGACAGCCAGTCACTCTCATGTAGAGAGATACAGTRTCTAGTACTTACTAATATTATTGCACCAAATAATGAATGCAACATAAGCTACTGCAATGTGACAGCTGTTTCTATCAAAGCTTGGTAGCTCAATGTGACTAGAACATTTTTGTCAGAAGTGCAAACCAATTTATAGCTGATTTCACAAGAAGAGGAAGAAAAGCTTCTTTGCTGCCAAAACGTGACCTTAACGCAGCCTTCAGATGCTATTAAATGCCCAAACATCAAATTGCATCCTGCCTTCTGTGAAATCACAGGAAGTTTCAAATGCCTTCTACGGAGGGCATTTGAAGCTGCAAGCAACAGTAGGGTGTAAGCAACTTCGGAAATTATGTTTCAGTGTAAGCTGTGACCTGAAAACTCAGCAGTAACACGTAAAAAACTCTTCACTACTTACAGATTCCATGTCTTTTATGAAAAAAACATATAAGGCTATATCTTACCATATTAAAGTAAAATTGTGATTTGTAATGGACTTGAGCTACAATTCCTAATAAAATTCAGTACTGTTTTACTGAACAAGTTACAATTCTACAATTATTTTTTGTTGCTATTGAAAACTTGGGATGTTTACATAGGAGAGCACTTCACTATTATTCACAAAGAATGCTAAGGTTTGAAAGTGAAACAAAAACAAAAATGCTTAAGTAAGATTGTTGCATCAATATTGAATTCTGTTATCTTACAAACAGTTATTAAAGTTGTAATTAATTAAATATTACAAGCTCAATTTTGTATTACCRTCTTTTCATTGTTCAGATTTGCGCTTTAAATGCTATGTTATAATAGTTTCTGCTATTGTTCCTGCCTCTACACATGCAAAAAAAGGAAAGATTAGGTTGCCATCATGTGGAATTGTGTTTTTTCGTTTAGTTTTTACAAAACACCGTATTGTTAAACAGCAGCCTTTAATAGACATGACAGAAAAACAGAAACTGCACAGTTGAGACAGGTTTTCAATGCTGTAGAMAATTCTTCTACTACAAAATAACATTTTCTGCTTACCTTATCTCAAGAATGTCACCAAAAATAAAACAGTTCAAAAATTTGCCACTATTGATTTGTCTTGATTTTTAAAAAGCATTAATTAATCAATTATAAGTATTAATTTACAAGGACACACATACCAGATAGAAGTAAATTAATGCTTATTGTGTAAACATGCTCTAAAGTGCTAGAAGGGATACAGAGCAAAAAAAAAAAAAAAAAACACTGTAACAAGTTGAAAATCCCACATGTATTTAAGGACAAAATTATTCAACATGTAGGGTGAAAGGCTTCTATGTTATTAATATAGAAGTCTTTTTGAAAGAAGGAAAAGCTTCATCAGAAGCTTTTCAATCCATTTATAAAAATTCCTCTAGCACCTGTTCACAGAAAGATATTTTTCCAGACAGGTGATACTTCTTAATATTTTAATCAGTTTTTACAATATTCCTAATTAGTTTTTTTTTTAATATGTATGTTCAATGTGAATTTTTGTGTGTGTTATTTATACGTATGCTATTTAAATTTACCTTCCTTTTATAGCATTGGTTTGTTTTTACAGTCACAGTAATCTTGGTCAACTCTTCTAGACTTTTAACCACAAGATTCAAAAAGAAACTTGGGAAAAAAAAACATCCCAAAAAAGCATATATGAGAGAAAAAAACGAAATCACTGGAAAACGAAATGCCATCCCAACTGAATAAAAAATTGCACTCAAACTTGTATATGTAATATGCAGAAATTGTAAAGCTAGCCAGAAAGAAGAAACTGTAATAGAAACATAATTCATCTTACTTGGATTTTGCCTCTTGCAACAATGAAGGGTCATCTGTAGCCAAATACACTCTTTTTTTATCGACGTGCATCCTGCGAGCCAGAAGCTCAAAGCGCTCTTCCACGTGTACCATGTACTCCTCGATGGGGTGAAACGCTGCCTCTGTCCCTACTTTGTCTGTCCTTCGGACGTGAACTCTGCAAAAAGCCAGAAACCAGGAATTACATTGATAAATGCTCTACATTAGCAAATGGAATTTTAAAATGAACCCCTACATAAAMTAAGGAAGGATTAAAACTCATCCATGTCCATCAAGACACACTGACAACATGAAGTTAGCTGTCAGTCTGTTCTCAAAGGCAATATAACAATCTCACAAGGAAGGCAAARGGTAACTGAAAGAAAGGAATGAAAGACAGTGAATTACAGCATATAAGRTGGTGTTGCTTCTGTGCACAAGATTAAATTATCTATTGTAGATAGATAATGCTTGATCAATACAAGTAAAAAAGAAAATAGGAATATTTGCACCATATAATGCATAGTTTGAATTAAGGTAGCAACAAATACATTTTTTGACCTCCTTGAAATGTAACAAGTCTTCAGATACAGCAGTGATGTACCCTACCAACTCAACGACCAAAAACCAGCTAACATTTGGACAAACCTATTGTGTACTCCTCAAAAAAGAAAGTTTAAGGTGAAGGAAAATTCTGGCAAAGGAAGCAGACTCTAGCACAGCAGCAGCAATATTTTTCACACTACATGATAGCAAAACCTTTCTCCCTCAAGCTGCTCTATTGGTCATAGGTGTCTTTCTTCCTTTTTTCCATATCTGCCCACAGAGATCTTTCCAATTCATAGTCACCAGCAACTGTGAAAACACCAGCAGGGAAGGGAAAGGCAAATACCATGTTCACATGTAGACAGTCATAAAATTAGTTGTGAATTGTGGCATGCAAAATGTAGGCTAAGCCTTTTTTCCTCAAATGTAAAAGCTATAGGCACTTGGAAAGGAGACCCAGACAGTAAAGTGCCTGGAATACAAGCTGTAAGGCAATTACATTAATGAAATCCTGTATTACTAGATAGAAGGAGGTATTGAAAAACCTTCTACTGAGCTGCCTTTTATGTATCTGTCCAACTCCACCTAGGCAAATGTGCTGAAGAAGTACTTGTAATCAACTTGTATTATGCACAGTTAAAAAGAAGAGCTTCTTCTAGAAATCACCCTCTCTCTTCCCAAAATACTTGAGACTCTTGGATTATCATCATAAAACATTTTTTCTTGAACAGGAACCACTACATACACATATTAAAGCRCAGACAGTTAAAAAAGAAAACTAAATACCCACCCGATCACTGGATGTTTGAAACCAAGTTTCCTTGTGGCTTCCTCTATTTCCTTTTCTAGCCAAGGCTGTGGACGAATCAAGTATTTCACAAACTGTGAGACCCACCACACTGCAGGATCCCCATGTACACGAATTAGTCTATCAGCCAAGTCTTCAGGGACAGCCAAGGGCAAATAAGGTGGCCGTGGGTGCAAGCTGTCAACAATGGGAAGTTCCACCACCTGAACATCCTTATCATTAGCCTCACCTGTTTTAAAATACATACTAAGATGAGTCAAGTAATTTACTTTATTAATAAGCTTAATCATTGGCAAAWAATATCCAAACATATCAACTAATCTATATCTTCAATTTCAAAAGGACTACCTAACCCTTGCTCTACTTTTTCAAAATAGATTTTGAAATCTAATAAAAATCATCGTTTTCTACTAGATTTATACATGAGCTATATCTAACAATTGACACAAAAAGAACAAAATTGAAGGTCCTTGAATTCTTAGCAGCTAGTAGTTAATAAAATATAAAGTGTGTTCCTTTTTATAAATTCATACTTTCTTATACGCAAATATACCTTTTCTGTGTGCTATGGCTTATCTGGACAGCTTGGTTATCTAAAATGTCTAAAATTCAGTTACTTGTTTAAAAATTAAACAAGAAATATTTAAAGGCACAAGAAATTGTTAAAAAATAACGACAGCTCTGCTGCTCTTTTGAACACATTTTATTGCAGTAAATTTCAGCATTTCAGACATTATAACCACTGAAATAGCTCCTCTGCTGTTAGAAGAGGAGAAAGAAAATTCCTGTCTTCAAGAACTTAAACAATGAAGTAGCAAATTAAATAGATCAGGGAAAACACAAGCACTGTAGAAGCACATGATATACATACAGGTAAGAATTTGTTATGTTTTGAATACTAACAACAGTAGAATATACACATGGTTTAGATGTAACTTTAATTCAAGGCTTAATAGCCAGTCAACAACTTTCATGAGTTTGTACAAATTACAGAAACACAACTCTCTGCATAATTGATCAAAGCTATGTTCATATACTGAAATAAATTATAATACATGACAACATAAAACAAAACATTACATTTTTAAAGCAYTGAACATTTCAGCTAATATTTCTATTGTGCTCGTTTCCTCCAAAATAACGTTTTCATTGTGTGCAGTATTTACTGGCAAAGATGGTTAGTTCTCCCTTTAGTGCTCACCAGCCAGCAAAGAAAACTGCTTTAAATATAAACAAATCAAACCCATGCAACTGTGGATGACCAAGTAAATCTTATTACTGAAACAATCAGTTCAGGGAAGGAATAACGAGCTTAAGAGTTTAAGAACAGTTAGAAATTCCAAATGTTAGAACACTTGCGAAACTGGTAAACTCTCTGAGATGTGGTAATTTATATAAAGAMTGTTTGTTACGCCCAATTATATTTTCAATTCCTTTTTACCAGATTTGGAAATCTGTCTTCTGAGAGGTATCTATATGTCAGTATTTCATCACTGCATTGTATACCATCACCATAAAGGGATTCTCTAGAAGAATTTCCCATACTACAGGTATGGGTGATTCTTTTTAATTCAAGAGGCCAATTCATATTTTTATCRTCGATTATCACACTCACAGGAAAAGATTTAATAAAAGTTCATAAATTTAGTAACAATATTGAGCATTTAAATCATCTTATAATATGATGGATAATACTTTACTAGTATGACTTCAGAAAGCTGCAACAAAGAAAAGCAGCATGAAGCCAGGGAAGTGCTAAACCTGGCCCAGATGAGAAGTATCAGGCAAAAGTTTAGACAAGAAATGTTTAGCTTGGGAATGGTACGAAAGAATGCTTGAGGTTCCATCCTTTTTACCTTTTTCCCCTCAACTGAGAATGGGAGAAGAAACAGGATAGCAAAAGAAACAGCAGCAATCTTAGCCAAGAGAAAAAGAAAATACTTCAATCTTAAGAGAAGGAAATTAGCTGCAAACCTCTTGAAAGAGAAAAAGCAGAGATGCAAAGGTGCATATAAAAAGGTGCATTTTTATTAAGTACAGGATCACTGACAAGCTTTAAAACTTTGTTCTATCACTAAATAATTATGTTGGTGCATAAAGACAGTCATTTAGAAAACACTGCTATTGATAAAGGTGATGAGCAATCTGACCTACCATTTGACATTCCTATCGTGAAAAGCATTCAATACCTTGCTCCATTCTATTTAAGAGTGTGCTTCTAAGAGTTTCCATAGTCTGTAGTGTTTWGTAGAAAATTACATTGGCCAGAAATAATCAGGAAAACTCTCAGCACATAACACAAACTATATTAAAATATATCAAAACCACAAATATTGAAGATTGCAAAAAAATAATATTTCAGCTTTCAACTCTATTGATACTTTGTTTGAATAGTAATGATATTGCAAGACTTGCTGTGAATCAAAATCAGCAACAAACAAAAAGTATTTTCATTAAGGAAAAGCAAACAAYTGGATTGTTCAAAATTAATTACTAGGTTGAGAGATAACAAGTGCTCTTTAAGATACAAAACACCTGCTTTCTGAGAAGGAATTAAAATATATAGTTATTTCAGAGATTAAGAGGTCCTTACTTATAAAACTACACAATATGAAACCCAACAAGGGAAGGATTACTGAAGTATGGGAACAATCACAACYACAGATCAAGGAATATGTTGGTATCATAATCAGACATTTTGAAACCATCACAGAAGCCCCTCTTGCTTCAGGACTAACTGTTAACAGCTACTGTAGACAAAATAATTCCAACACACACGGTATTGTGATGAAAAAAAAGATATAATTGTCTTTAAAAAAAATTTGTCATGGACAAAACCAGTGCAGAATAACTCTCTAGTAACCCTGACGGAGTAAACAACTCACTGCAGCAGCCTTATAGAAAGAGACAGCATTCTTACCTTACTGATCACTCTTTCTTTTTCCCCCCAATGTTTGCAGAAAGATTTCTAACAGGCAGTGAACTTGTCCTACTTTCAATAGGCGTTTTTTAAAAAGATGTTATCCTTTTTTGGACAGCAGGATATTGGYTTAGTTTACTGAGAAATAAGCTGCAATCACAATCAATGATACAGCAGATAACCAAAACTCAGATCGACAGACAAGCAGATACATTAGAAAATAATAAGTCACATTGCTGATTCACGTGTATTTTCAACTTGAAGATAATGAAAGATGAAGATAATGAAAGATKATGAAACTGTGCTAAAAATACAGAATGAACTTTTAATCCACACTTCAATTGTTAGATACATTTTCTTTAATTTGTAAAATGTTTGAGTTTTCCTATTTCACTGATGTATTTTTTTTAAGTAATAGGTAAGCCATAAAAGGTAATAATTCATACTAATATTTWAATATTTTTCTCATGCTGGTACTTTAAATCACAGCATCATCATGTCAATCAGGCCCAATTCCCTGCTCAGTGGTGGTACGATTTTGACATTTGATCACAAAATCCTAGAATTATTTCGGTTGGAAGATATCACTAGAGTTGTTATACATCATTTACATGTCAGCAATACTTCAAGTTACTTCTTCTGATGTGATTTATTTTACTATTACTGTTGCCAAAATTTGTCACTATAATTCTATTTACAGCTTAACTTTCATATGATTCCAGGTGCTATTTTTACGTTTGTAATAACCTATGAAACTGTCTTCCAGAGTTCTGCAACTTAATCCAGTTTTGGATTTTACTTCACTGAGTAACCAAAAGATTGAGTGTTTTTGCAATAGTCATAAAGTACTGCAATATTGAGAACACTCACTCTTCCTTGCTCTGGAGGAAGACCCTGAACTGAAATTGATTTTTATTCAGATGACCCATGCCAGTTGCACCATCTCGTTCTTATTTATTATCATTTTTTGCATATGTTCATCACAATACATCAGTAACAGTTTCAATTTCCAGGACACTCAGTGATTACTTTTTAAATACTGAAATGAGCTCCGTGTGTTACAAAAAGTGTAACTTTGCTTCTCGGCAGTATCCCAATGTGTCTTAATAACTTAAAAGCCCTCAGGATTTGTGATTTGGCATAACCTCATTGCCTGTCTACTTTTCAAATTTACTCTAATTTAAAGCCCATTTAGAAACTTCATTATTTGTATTGTTCTTATCAACTTCTTTTTCTTGGAAGCCTGAAAATGTTGGTTTGGTTCAAAAAGACCTTTGGAATTTTGTTGTTTTAGCTAAGCTTTCTTCCTGCCATTTGTACATTGGTTTGTACCTGCACTTGGATGGGCATTTTCATGGGTGTTYATTAACTTCTTACCTGAAAGGAAGCTGACATTTTGCCATGCAATCACTATTATTAGTTAATGTTAACTGAAAACCAGTTTGATTAATCATTCTCTTATTATTCAAAATTAATCAGCTAATTTAAAAGTATTTTTTCAAGAAGTCCTTAAAAGYATACGAAAGAACACCATGCTAAGGACATTCCTGTCTTGTAAGATGAGAATTGCAATTTAATTTCAGTTTGTGTTGCTAGAAACCACAACTGAATAAAATGATGTAAAAATGGGAGAGCTTCACTGCTTTTCTGTTTCTATAACATACTTGATTAGGCTGATATTAACTTGCATAGACTAATCACAGATTTACTTAACCAACCTCTACAACAGGAGAGACTGACAGCCAATCTGAAACCTTACCCAAGTGAACAATTCTAAATTCAACCACAGGAGATATGTCAGTGCTGGGAAAGCTGCTTGATTGGCACAGGATATGGTGAGAGGACTGTGCTGAATTCTCTCAAGGCTYCTCATTGTCCTGCTGGTCACTGTTACATACTGCAAAGGGCAGGATCAGGGCTCATCAATGCTATTTCAGGGCWTTTTTTGCAAATTGAATACAGTGAAAAATGAAAACTATGCAAATTTATGGAGTGTTATGCTCTTTTTAAATTGCCAMCTAGTTCATAAGAAAATAAAAGGATGCTTTTACCTGTTTTATGATGCAGACTAGACCTCCTACAACTATTTTTTTGGGCATTTGCAAACTTAAAGTTACCTCATAAGGACTTAATGCAATAGTTGAATTATAAAATGGAACTGACATGAGATAAAAATAATATTTTTCTTTTAAAGTAGTCAATGTAAAATACAGCTCATATATCTATAATTATTTTTTTCTCTAAGATTTTGCCTTGTACAATTTCAATACAGAATTTTTGAAMTTTGTCTTCCGATTAATTTCTCACTG